CTGTCTATTCTTGCGAGGGTAGTTAACCTCGACGATGACGATGGCGTGCTAAGAGAGAATAGCTGCAAGTACGTGTAGCCACAGTACTCGAACATTACATCCACCTGTGATCATTGCTGCGCGCTATAGTTCGTGCGCTGCGATGACGCGAGCGCCTCTGTGAGCGCAAGACAGTCCACCAGCATCACTTTCGTCCCTGGAAACACAAAATGTCAAATGCGTGTGTTGTGTCGCGGGCGCTCTGTCTGTGATCATGTGTGTGTCAGTGTGTGCGTCGGTGTGTGTGAGTGTGTGCTTGTGTGTGGCCGTGTGTGGTGTGTGTGTGTGTGTGTGTGTGTGTGTGTGTGTGTGTGCGTGTGTGTGTGTGTGTGTGTGCGTGTGTGTGTGTGTGTGAGCGCGACTCAGAGAGAGAGAGAGAGAGGCAGAGATTCGAAGGATGCTAGAGTGGTGACACGCACGTACAACAACGTACATCAGCACACACACATACACACACATACACACACATACACACACACATACACACACATACACATCGATGCCCATCATGCCAGCTGCAGCACCTTGGTGTTGGCGTCGCCGCCAAACGCGGGCTTCACATCAAAGCCAAGCGTCTGCACAATCTGCGTCTTGCCAACGCCTTGAGGGCCAACAACAGCAATCACGGGCGCCTGCACGCGCAGACGCGCCAGTGGCCGCTTGATGGACGTCACTGTACATTAGGCGTTGGTTGGGCGCGGTGAATGCAACAAGAGAGGGTAATGTGAGAGTGATAGGAGCCATGTGCGACAGTGGTGTGATGTGCGAGTGATGTGAATGCACTCATGTGAATGCAGTGGTATTGGTTGGACACAAGAGCGTTGACGTCGTTCGAGCACTGTGCACGACCCAACTCAAACACAGGTTACCAGCACTATCGCTGTGTCACACCCATCATCATCATCATCATCATCATTACCGCCCCCAACACCACCAGCATGCAGGGCGTACCTGTCGCAATCCAGTCGACAATGGTGCGGAACGTGTAGTTGTCGCGCGTGTGTCCGGCGCCAATGCGGCGCAGCTGCTCCGCTGCGTGCTGCAGCCGCGGGTCCCGCTCGTCAGCACTGCTCATCATCGTGGTCGTCGTCGTCGTCGTCGTTGTCGTCGTCGTTGTCGTCGTCGTTGTCGTGAGATGGTTGTGACATGGGAGATGGGGGGAGATGATGACATGTAGGGGGGGAGCACTATCGTGAATGCACACGCAGGTAACTCGAAACACATGGGCTCAAATAACAGCTATTGGTCAGGCAGAACGCAAGTGTGACGTGACGGCTCCCAAGCCAAACCCCCAAACCACAAGCCAAGAAGCAACGCACTCGCTGGTTGATGTTGATGCACGGTCTGGTGGTGTCAGCAAACTCGCAATGTAGTTGAAGCTGCCAGGCCAAGCGAGGTATTGTGGGCGTGCAGGAAAGGTGAGACCACCCGTGTTGAGTTGCGCAACCACCACAGCCCAAACCACACGGCAACAAACACAGAGAGAGAGGGGGGAAGAACAGCACGTCCGTTCCACACACACACACACACACACACACACACACACACACACACACACACACACACACACACACAACACAACACAACACAGCGCACCATCCTGGCCCTGGGATCTGGTTGTCTGGGAAGAGGCGGAGGAGAGTGCGCTCGAGGTCACAGAGCGGCATGGCATCGCTGCGCCCATACAGCAGCTCGCAGATGAAATCCAGCCGTCCTTTCTCCCCTACAACTTCCTCTGAACGCACGAATGGTGGTGGGCGGGTGGATGGTCGCAATGATTGTGTGAGAAGCAAGCTTTGACAAGAGCATGCTTCGAACACAGTTGGGTGAAGAGTGTGTAAGTGTGTGTGTGTGTGCATGTACACAGATAGTGTGTGCTTGCAAGTGTGCTCGTTGGTTCGTACGGATTTGGTATGCGGCAGATCGCTTGACGGCGTCGAGTTTCGTCTGCGCGGCGATGGAGACCGGCTGGTCCTCAGGCAGCGCAGGGTGGTCGCGCTGGCGGTCAGCAATTAAAGGTGGCAGTGGCGAGCCAATGTGCATGTGAGACGCGAAATACCAACCATTGAGATGCAACACAGCCAACACAGCCAACACAGCCAACACAGCCAACACAGCCAACGCAGAAGGTCGCACCACAACACATGTGCTTGTGTGTGCTTGTGTGCAGGTGTGCATGTGAGTGTGGCATGGCTCCATACCTCCTGGATCTTTGCAAATATGCTCTTGACACTGAAGTATGCGGCTGTGCCCGCTTTCCGCATCAGGCGGCGGCGGCGGCCTTTCTTCCGCGCAACGGGGAGCTCACACTTGCCGTTCTGTGCACACGCACGCACACGCACGCACACGCACGCACACGCACGCACACGCACACGCACGCACACGCACACGCACGCGCAGACGTAAATGTAAAGTGTGAAGCATAACAAGCGTGAGTTGGTTGAAGTTTTGGAGGAGCTGCGACCTGTTTTGCTCTCCGGAGCCATTCGTGTGCGCAATACAATGTACAGCGCCCTCCATGTATACATACACGCACACACGCACACGCACACACGCACACGCACACACGCACACGCACACACGCACACACACACGCACACACACACACGCACACACACACGCACACACACGCACAAGGCAACAAGCGCGTACCCAGTAGTTGATCATGCATTGGATCACCGGCTCGCACTTCCACAGGAAATGGAAGAAATAGACGTTGGATGGGTCAACTATCACAGAGTTGGTCGGAAAAATACAACACAGAGACACACGACACCAAACAATAGCGCGGCGTTTCAATACCATCAGCGAACAACGTGAGATACATGTCGTGTGTGTGTGTGAGGGACGCACATGTGTTGCGAGTAAAACCGGCATCAACAAGCAGACCAACGAGGGGACCAACGAGGAGAGGAAACACCATCAGCTGCGACGGGTGAGGGACAATACACACACGCACACACACACGCACGCACACACACACGCACACACCGAGTTGTTCTGCGTCGAGGGCATTCAGAGTGGCGAAGAAAGAGTGAAGAAGCAGCGACTGCAACAAACAATGTCACAAGCAAGCGCGCGAGACACAATGGGAGATGAGAGCTGCAGCACATGCACACACACACACACAAAGCGCACGCACACACGTACGCGCGCACACACAAAACAAGAACAACGCAGAACCCGCCCAATCAAACTCCAACACAATCCAACCAAACCATTCACACGCAACACACCGGAACGCGTTCATCTGGCGCGGCGCCGTCGGCAACAGCGGCGGTGCGGAGCGGAGGCATTACTGGCAGTGGCGGTGGGTCGAGCGAGTCGCGTGGGACATCCTGCGAAGGAAACACGACGTTGCCCGTGCTGGTGTCCAGGATACCGTGCAGCGTGCCCAGCCACTGGTCAGGCAGCAGCAGGTGGTGGAAGTAAATGCACCTGTCGTGTTCGGCCATGGAGAGTTGCTGTTGCTGCAGGCGCCGACGCTGGCTCTCCTTCTCCTCGTCTGTCGCGCCCGTGATCTTCACAGGGAATGTCGCCATCACCGCATCCTTGTACTGCTCCTGCATCTCAACCAACACAAGCCCGTTCCCTGTGTAGGTGTGGGTGGGTGGGTGGGTGGGTGTTTGTTGCGTAAGAGACAGAGTGAGTTGTGCCACTGGTGCCAATAGCCATCATCCAAACGCTGCGGCAGCTCAGGTAAACCACACACACACACACACATACACACACACGTGCACACACACATGCACACACGCGCACACACGAACAAAAACCAAACAAACACACACACACAAACACACACACACACGTCTGCCACCCACCGCTGTGTGACTGTGCGTGCTGGAACGTCTGCACAAGTGTGGCCAGATCCACACGCTTCTTCAACGCATCCAGCGCGACGCAGCGCTCCACGTTGAGCGTGGTGTCCTCCTGTGTAATGCGCTGCTTCGTGTGGTCCTCCTCCAACTCGCGCTCACGCAGCTGCGCCCGCTGCTTCACCTGGTGCGCGAGGAGTGCGCTCAGCACAGCGCCACGCACCAGCAGATCTGGCGACTGCACGCTGAACGTCTCCGTCCACACGGCGTCGCGGTGGGCAACCCACGTCCCCGTGAGAAGCATGCGCTGGTTGAACGTAACCGTCGCCTCCCCAAACGCAGACCGCAGCCGACAGCGCAAGAAGTAGCGGCTTGAGGGCAGGGCCTTGTGGCCGTCCGTGCGCACAACAAAGTCCGGGTGGAGGTCCAGCCGTGCATCGTCGGGAACCTCCAGTGACAGTTCAAGGTAGGAGCGGCCGTTGGCGCCAAAGTTGCGTGTGGGCGGCTCAACAATCAGCAGAGTGCGCGTGAATGTGCAGCGCTCGTTGTCAAGCACAAGCGCAAAGTTGACTTCGATATCGGACGTGAGGTTGAGGTTGGTGCCGACGAGAAACACCCGCAGCAAGCCATCCTGCAGCATGGCCACGCGCGAGGTGACACGCATCGAGCCGGGGGGCTCGTTGATGAGCTCGTTGCTCGCCACGTGTGCATGCGGCGCAAACGACGCGCCAACGCCCAGCTTCCTCGCGGCGCCACGCACGTGCTCAAAGTACGTCCGCCACATGTGCATCACGTGCGGCGTCTGGCCACGCCCCTTGCCAAGCAGCACCGTGGCTGCACCCTTCTTGAAGTTGAGTGTGGGCAGCAGCGTGAGCCAGGGCGCCTCGTATCCGTAGTCCTCCGCAGCGCCGAGATCCGTGCCCAGCCCAAAGAACGTGGCGTGCCGCTGCATGAGCTGCCGCGCGAACATCTGCAGCGCCGCGTGCTGCTCCTCGCTCACCGTCATCTTGTACTTGAACGGCTTGTGCTTCGTGCTGCTGCGCTCCCCAGCGTCGCCGCTGCCGCCGCCAACACCGATGTTCGCGCTCGCGTCGTTCTGCTCAACAAAAGTGCTGTGGTGCGTCACAGCCTCGTGCAGGCGGGAAAACAGGTCCGCTTGCGCCTGCAGCCCATACACGTACGGAAACACGTCTCCGCGGGAGAAGATGAGAAACGCACGCCGCGCACACCACGCCGTGAGCAGACGCGTGCGGGCTGTTTCCTCGCGCTCCGAGACCAGCCCCTCTGGGCCCGGCTCCGCTGGGTCGCGGGAGAGGACGCTGGCCGTGCGGGGGTCAACAACACCGCCAAAGATGCTGGCACGGCGCGCTGCCGAGGCTGCAAGCGCAGCAGACAGCACGGCGTCGCCCACAATGGAGTGGCGGTGGGACACGTCGTGTGCGCCCTCGTGTTGCTGTAGGTGATGCTTGGTGTTCTGCTGGGAGTAGAGGCGGGAGCGGGGGTTGCCGGACATGGTGAGGCTGCGGCTGAGGCGACGCGCATCGTGAACACCGAGATGCTCCAACGTGCTGATGCTCTCTCGGACCATCGCCACAGCCGCCGGCTCGGCGGTAGTGCTCTCCTGCGATGCCGCCAAGTCTTCATCTTCCTCCTCCTCCTCCCCCTCCTCATCACCATCATCACCATCACCATCATCACCATCATCATCATCATCACCAACATCATCACCAGCATCATTATCATCGTCGTGGTCATCATGTGCAGGGGCAGCAGCATCACCCGCGTCGCCGCGCTCATCATCGTGGGTGATATTGGTATCGCTCACTGTCAACTGCCCGCTGTCAGTTTCATTGCTCTGCCCATCCCGTGTGTCTGTTGTGGTCTTCGCGCATTCACTGTCAAGTTCCTCGGGCGGGAGCGAGCCCATGTCGTGTGGTATTCTTGCTGTAGCTGTTGCAGCTGTTGCTGCTGTTGCTGCTGTTGCTGTTGTTGCTGTTGTTGCTGTTGTTGGGGTGGTTGTGTCAGCATCGCCATCGTCGTCGTCGTCGTCGTCGTTGCCGCCATCTTGAAAGGGGTCAGAACACGTGGTGGTGTCATCGTGGGAGATGGTGATCTGCACAGATGAACCTGTTAGCTTTCGCTCCACAGCTGCTGTTGCTGTTGATGCTGTGCTCTCTGCCGTGTCACTGGTGTTCTTGTCACTCTCGCTCAAAGTTGCCTGCTCTTCACTGTGCACATCCTTGCTGCTGCCATCATGATCACCACGATCACCAACACTAACACCAGCGTCACCGTCATCAGTATCACCATCGCTGTGAGTGCCGACGGCGGGCTCTGCGTCTGTCGTTTCATCCTCGCATGCGCCTTCCACACTCTTGGTTGCATCGTGTGTGTCGCCTTGGCCCGCCTCTTGTTCTTGGTTCTGTTCCCCCTGCTGCTGCTGCTGCTGTGAATCGGTCACAGTGCCAGTGCCATCTGCGCTGTGCGCATCTGTGTGTCCTGCTTCTGTTGCTGAAGGTGCTTGATTCACCTCCTCGCTGTCGCCATCACCAGCATCCGCATCCTTCTCGTGTGTGGGTGCGGTTGCTGTAACATGTGGCGGCCCACCCACATGAGCTGTCGTCTCATCAGCAGACTCAGATGCGCTTGCTTCCTTTCGCGGCTTTTCCTCGTCCTGGTGTCCCAGTTGTTCTTGCTGTGGCTGCTGTGGCTGCTCACTCTCTTCTCCCTTCTCCGCCTCTCCCTTCTCCACCTTTGCATGCTGCTGTGAGTTGGGCACTGGTGTGGGCGTCTGCTTGCCTGACGGAGTGTCTGTGCGTGTGCTCGCACCGCGTGCGCCACGCGTCGTGCCTGCATTCTGTGTGGCGATGGTTCTGTTGATGGTGTCTGCACGGCTCTTGGTGGGGCTGGTCAGCTGCGCAATGTTGATGGTGCGCGGCGGCGGGTTTGTGCGCACCATGGTGTCCAGATCTGGGCTCAGCGCAGGTAGCAGCGCTTGGCCAAGCGTGTACACGTGCAGGCGCGCAAGGCACGCGGCAGACTGCGGGCACGAGAGCAGCCGCCAGACAACCTCCATGGCAAAGACGTATGCGATGGTGCCGCCAACGGAGTGGCCTGCAATCCACACCTCGGAGCCCGTCATGAGCAACGAGGCGACGTGCTGCGGGGAGAGCTCGCTCGTGATGTCGTCGACGAGGAAGCGAAGGTCTTCCTCCGTGCGGGCCTGGCTGAGCGATGGCGAGTTGAAGAGCACAAAGTGGCGGTCGGTGCGCTCCTCGGTGCCAGTGACAGAGAGCGTCTCCCGCATCAGCACCGTGTAGGCGTAGTTGAACTCTGGGTGCAGCAGCGTGCCGTGGGTGAGGTTGAGCGTGGTGTTGACGACGCCGGCCTGGCGGCTGGCATCCAGCGCTGCCGACAGCGACTGAATCGGGACGCGGGCGATGTCGAGGCACTGCGCAATATAGGAGAGGTTCTCCACGAGCTCGCTCGAGTCCACGGCGAAGAGGCCCGCCAGCTCGCGCTCGGAGAGATCGGCAGGCTGTGTCTCGAGGCGCGGCATGCTGCGAAGCCGCTGCATCTCAAACATGTGGGCGATGGCGGCGCGCTGGAAGTCCCACACAATCTCGTCTGGCTCCTCATCGTGTTCGCCATGGCCGCCACCATCATCGCCATCACCGCCGTGCTTGCTTACATCCATGGCACACGCGTCGTCGTCGTGCTGCCGATCCTGGATGCTGTCCGTGCTGCGAGGCCCTCGGGTGAAGCTCCGCTGCATGCAGTGGTGCCCCTGCCGAAAGTAACCCGAGAGGAGCCGCTGGCAGGAGCCGTCGGGGAAGATGAAGACGCCCCAGCCGTGCGCCTCGCCGTCCACGACCTGCCCGCGGTACTCGCCGTAGGGCATGGTGGTGGCGTCGATGCAGGCAGCCTCATCAACCGTCTCAGGACAGTGGGGCACGGTGGCATCCAGCTTCTGCTCGCGTCGCAGCACGCCGATGCCCGTGGGCTTGCCATCAATGCATTCACCCGAATACACACGCCCGTCTGGCAGGACGTGCTGCCCAAACTCACGGTACCCAGACATCCTGTGGAGAAGGAGGGACGCGGCAAGGGGCAAGGCACAACAGGCGACGGTGTTGCACCTGTGCCTGTGTGTGTGTGTGTGTGTGTGTGTGTGTGTCTGTGCCTGTGTGTCTGTCTGTCTGTGTGGCTTGTCTTGTGGGGAAAGCGCCAGCTCAGCAGACCACCACCAGCAGCGCAAAATCGCGCAACGCAAAAAGAAAGCAAGCAAGCAAGCCACACACGCAACTCGCAACTTGCGACTTGCAGGGGGAAGTCATGGAGGTGAGTGGTGTGGTGAAGCTGCGAGGGGATGAGTGTGGGGAAGTGGTGTCAGTGGCAACGACATGGGAGCAACAGCAGCGGCAGGCGTCCGACGAGGCGCTCGTGTGCTCTGAACAACGTGTGCTGCTGCTCGACACACGCACGCGCGAACAGCGCACCATGATCACCGCGGCTGCAGGCGCAGGCGGCGCTGGGTTCACGGCCGCATGCTACCAGGGCGACGACAAGAACAACATGCTCGTGGCACGGGAGGACGGGCACGTGTGCGTGTATGACAGGAGAAGGCCAGACCGGCCGGCCCACGACATCGACTGCAGCGGCGGCGAGGAGGTGAACGGGCTCTGGCCGCACCCCAGCAAGCACTTTGTGGCGGCGACCGACGACGACGGTTCCGTCAGTATCCTCGATGCACGACAGGGCAAGGTGTTCAAGCGACTGGCGCCAAGCCAGCGCGCGCACACGCTCATCACAACCACGGCTGCCTTCCTGCCAAACCAGCGGTGGGAGGTGCTGACAGCAGGGATGGACTGCATGCTGCTGCGCTGGCTGTTCAGCAAAGGCCGCGTGCTGGAGCGGCGGCACTTCAAGACAGACACCGAGGAGGACGGCCGCATGTTCAACCCGCCGCTCGTCCACCACATGGCCATCAATGGCCCCGGCAACCGCCTGGCCATTGCTCTCGGCTCGGGAGATGTGCACGTGCTCGACATTAACCAGCAGGCGGAAACGCGGCAGCGGCTACAGCCGTCGCTCGTGCTCACGGGCAAGCACACGTATGACGCCTCGCGCGTCGCCTTCCTGCAGGACCACGACGACAACAACGCCCGCCTCGTGTCGTGTGGAAACGACAGGCGTGTCTGCGTCTGGGACATCAGCAGGCCAGGCCTGCCGCGCCCTGCGTCAAGCGGTGGTAATGGCCCCGCAACATCGAGCACAAAGATGGCGGCCGATGCACGGACACAGGACGAGGGGGCGCCAGATGCCGGTACTGATGTTGACAGCAGTGACAGCGGCAGTCGATTGGTACACAGCACACGATGCAAGTACAAGATCAATGACTTGCGCGCCATCAGTGCGACATCCATCGTCTTTGCAGACACACAAGGCAACATCTGCCTTGGCGCCCTCAAGGCGTGAAGCATGTGTACGTGCGTGCGCGCGCGCGCGCGTGTGTGTGAGGATGTGTTTTGTGCGTGCGTGCGTGTGTGTGTGTGTGTGTGTGTGTGTGTGTGTGTGTGTGTGTGTGTGTGCGTGTGTGTGTGTGTGTGTGTGTGTGTGTGTGTGTGTGTGTGTGTGTGTGTGTGTGTGTGCGTGTGTGTGCCAATGTATGCGTCGCTGTCTCTGCACCTCTGCATCACTATCTCGCCATCGCTCTACCCCCACCACCTCGCCATCTCTATGCCAGACAGCTGGCCTGCCTGCCGTGCTTGCCTCTCCCTCAGTTGTGTACACCTCCGCCTTCATTCTCGTTGTACACTCGCTGGTGTGCAGTTATGGCATCATGTATCGAGTGAATAGACAGGAACTAGGTCAATTTGCACGCAGATATACAGACACAGGCACACTCACGCCCAAAACACACCAACGCACGCGCACACGCACGCACGCACATACATGCGCGCTGTCGCATGTGTTACCTACCTTTCCTGCTCCCCTGGCGCCTCGTCGTAGAGCAGCCGCATCTCGACGTCAAGCATGGCAAGATCATCCTCAATCAGCTCCCGATGCCGCTGCACGCTTGCGTCCGCACCGGCGGTGCCAGCGGCTGCTGCTTGCAAGCAAAGCGCGCGTGCGAGCTGCGCATGCGTGCGCTCCAGCGCTTCGCGCGTGGCACCGGGCCGCCCAGGCGTCTGGCGTGGCAGAAGCGTGTGCTGCATGGACAGTACAACCTCCTCCTGCGGAAACAACACCGCTCGCAAATCTGTATCTGTTTGCGTGCGACGGGTGCTGCTGCTGTTGCTGCTTGTAGTGGTGTTGGTGTTGGTCTTGCTGCTGCCGTTGTTGCTGCTGCCGTTACTGCTGTTGTTGCTGCCGTTGCTGCTGTTGTTGCTGCTCCGATTGCCGCCATCGCTGCCATGTGGAGCAGCTTGTGACTCTGACGCATTTGCCTGCGCTTGTGCGCGTGTGCTGTCATGTGCGCTGTCTTGCCTGGTGGTAGCGGCGGCAACAGTGGCCACAATCGTCTGCACCACACCACCGCCACCAGCCCCGCTGTCATTTGCAGTGCCACCGTGTCCACCGCCGCCGCGCGAAGCGCTATCTGTGCCGACGGCGGTGGCAATCGCGGTGACAGCCGAGTCGAACGCCTCCTGCAAGATGGCCAGCACCGCGTTGTGCACGTCTGTGGCTCGCCCAAGCAGCGAATCCGCGGCAGCAACGCTCATCGACGCAGTGGTGGATGCAAGCGCAGCCAGCGTGCTTTGCAGGGTGTCTGCCATCTCTGTCCACGTGGGCACGGCGTCGCCGTTGCTGCCCGAAGTGCCACGTGCGCCACCGCCGCTCGCGATAAAGGACGAGGAGGATGAGGAGGATGAGGAGGATGAGGACGAGGAGGATGAGAAGTAGTCCCACAGCTCATCGACAAACGACTTGCGTTCGCTTTGTGGCGGAAATCCCGGACCAAGCAGGATGGAGGACAGCACCCATGGCAGTGGGAGCCAGAGGTGATACAGGCGGAGCGACGTGCCGTGTGTGATGGCGCGGTTCCTCATGCTGGACACGCTGCCGCCCTGCATGCTGGAGCAACGGGTGCACTGTGGCAGGAATCGCTGGGGCCTGCCGTTGGCGAACTTGTTGGGCGGCATGTGGTCCCCGACAAAGGTGGCTGTGCGGCGCGTGCCGCAGGTGTGACAGCCGTGGAGGCGACCGATGTTGGTGAGCAGCACGCGCTCGGTGGCGGTTGCGTAGTTGGCGCTTCTGGCCGGCAGGCCTTCCTTGGCGAAAGCGCCCCTGTGCCACAGGCTGCTTGGGAGCACTCGACGGGCGCTGCCCCCCAGCAGGAAAAAGGTGGCTAGAGTGGCTGCAGAGACGATGGTGGTGTGCTTGAACGTGCGGGAATGCACCACCTCCTCCAGGAAGCACATGGGGTCGTCGGCGATGGCCGTCAGCTCCTGCTGGTAGCTGTCGATGGCCGCCGGCAGGGTGTTTGGCAGGCCTTCGCATGCGGATGCCACGTCTCGTGCCGTGGCTTCTGCCCAAGCGAGGGCGCGATCTGCCATCTTCTCTGGCTGTGGGTCAAGCAGCTGGCGGCGCAGGCGCGGCAGGTGCCGTGCAGTGGTGCTGCAGGCCATTGTGGACACCAGGCCGGCCACGGACACGGACGCAAGTCCCGCAACCGTACCAACGACGCGATGGTGCGCGCGTATTCGCAAGGGTACAAACACGGCCTTCTGCAGCACGGCCAGGGTCACAGGGAAGCACACGGCGCCAGCCACCGCAGACGCAGCAACCAGCTCCACGTCGTCCAACTCGCCCATACTCGTGTTCCTACTGGTGTGTTGATGTTGTGGCCGTTGGGTTGTGTGTTGTGTGTGTTGTGTGTTGTGTGGTTGTGGATATGGCGTGGATATGCGGTTTTCTTTTTCTTTTTTTCTTTTTTCTTCTTCTTTTTTTTTTATTCCTTCTTCTGGGGGCTGGGTTGCAACTCTCTCCTAGCCTCCTCCTTTGAGCCCTTGCTATTGCTAAGACCTCGAGCTACATCTACACCCTTCAACCCGCCCAGCCGCCATGGCTTCCTTCTTCCTATCTTAGTGGGGTCTGTTTGTTTGGAGCCATAACTGTTGCCGAGAACTGCAACAAGGAATTATGATTGTGGAGATGTTAGGATGGACGTACTTACTCCTCATCTCCTCATGTCACATCAATCCAGCAATGCTTTTTGCAACGTCTCTTCCTTGATCCACCTCCTTCCTGCTTCCTGCACAGTACAGCCCCGCGATGACAAGTCAAACAAAAGCAAACGTTTCTTTACTGCGTGCTTTCGTTCACTGCTGTTGTGACACGACGCCCATTCGCCACGTGCCGCTGTCTGTAGGTCTGTTCCAACAACAAGCAACGTGTTTGCTCCACTGGCTGAACAATGCGTTCGCCAGGTTCGCCAACACAAAGCCCCCTCCCCCTCCAACCAGCGTTCTCTTTCCCATTGCATCTCATCAGACACTCAAGCGCCACTCGCGAGCACCTTCGGCTTTACGAGCTTTAATCATGTGTGCTTGCCTCTCGCAGGAACAGTACAAGAAGAGAGGAATAAATGCAGACGGACCGAGCAGACTGGGCAAGCAAGACAGCAAAGCAGGTTGAATCTGAAAATGCGAAGCGAGTGAAAAGAGGGACAGTGCACAAAGGGTGCGGCGCGTCAAAGCAAGGCAGGTCTAAGGTAATGAGGTCAACAGTGGGGTCAAGGTAGGTAAGAAGAGTGAAACCAAGCACATCAGAAGCAAACGTGATTGAGGCATGAAAGACAGAGACGGACGAACAGCGAAAAAAGATGTACACAGCAGACAACACACGAGCACGGCTGGAGTTGAAGGTCTCGCGTGGTCCTTGTCAAAGATCGCTGATCTGCTGCTGCCACGGGGCAAGCGTCCACAGTGGAGACCGTGTCCATGTGTGGAGGTCGCGGCATCACGGGCGCCGACTATGACCGGAACAGAAGGGGTTCCATCAAGAATGCGTTGGCGATGGCGGTTATGCTGCAGCGCCAAGGAAAGCACGGCATTGTGTGGTGCAGAGTGAGTGCCATGTTGTGGCCGGCAGAGCAGGGGAGGGAACGGGAGGAAGAGGAGGAGGAGGAGGAAGAAGAGGAGGAGGAGGAGGAGGGAGGAGGAGGAGGGAGGAGGAGGAGGAGGAGCCTAACAGCTTAGACGACGACAACAACAACAACAACAACAACAACAACAACAACAACAACAACAACAACAACAACAACAACAACAACAACAACAACAACAACAACAACAACAACAGCAACAGCAACAACAACAACAACAACAACAACAACAACAACAGAGACAACAACCAACGACAAGTAGCAGCAGCAGCAACCCACACCTGTAGTGGGACACGAGGTCAAAGAGGGTGGAAAAGCGCTGATCTGGAAAGAGGTAAAACTCGTCTTCAAACGGTGTGTAGATGACGAGGTGCCTCGGGCCATCCAGCGTCATGATAGACAGGCGCAGGCCGCTGTTGGCGCGAATGATGTACGTGCCAGCCTCCTTGCCTTCAAGGGCGGCCTCTGCCTCCTCCCGCGTCATCGTTGGTAGTGGCAACTCGCACGCCAGAATCTTCGGATCTGTTTCAGCGAAACCTGAGGGAAGCGTACGGCAAGCGGAGTGAAGACCAGAATATCAGACAACGACAAGCGTGACCATGTTTTGAAGTGCCCTTCAGCGCGTCGGTCCACCGCTTCAGCACACGCGCAGAAAACAATGCAGACAGAGATACGACCACAGATACACGGAAAGACACGCACACACATGCACACCAACACACACACACACCAACACACACACGCACACACGCACACACGCCCCGTCCTGCGCGTCATCCTCAGGTCAACAGCGAGCACAACTCACTGCTTCGACTGTGGATCTGTGTTGGTCCCCCCCCCCGCAGCCGATCCCCCAGTTGACAAGGGCAAAGCACGCAAGTCGCATACCCGTGAGGGAGAACATACGATTGCACAACCACACAACCACACAACCACTGGCGATTGCTCAATTCAAGCGGGTCACCAACAAAATAGCATGACAAGGGCAGTACCCGGATCAATGCACGCGCGCACCTGTTCCCAATTCTGGCTGTGGCGTGCGCGAATCAACAGCGGAGACTGCGTCTGTAACAGCCAAGCACGGCCCAGCAAACAAATCGTACAACCGTTGTCGAGACAGGGAGCATGCTTGTTAATCCATTCATGCATACATGCCATTCATGTCAATCAACACGAGCATGCAAAGGTTGAAAGCACGCACAGCCCACGTGTCACCCCTTCCCGAGTGACGTACCAAGTGCGATGTGTCACTTTCCCCGGACGTGGTGTACCCCTGACCATCGCTGTGTGAACCGTAGCCATTGTCTGTCCCTCCCGAAGACACCACTCCTCTCCGCCCATGCTCATCACCACCTTGAAACAAAGGCGGGGGGGGGAGGAATAACATTCAGAACGCGAAAGTAATGTTAGCATGGTTGCCGAAAGTGCTCACACCCATCCTTGGGTATGCACACATCTTTCTCTTCGCGCAGGCCAACATTTCGCATGCACACACTTGCGCACATATCAACACACCACACCACATGCATACGCACACACACGCACATCTGCACGCACAAGTGGACGTACGCTCGGGCTTGGTATCAACTTTGATTTTGACCGCTTGATCGCTCCCGCTCAAATGCTTCTTCACAGCCTGAAAGAAGCATAAACCCCAATGCACACAGACAACATATGCAGAGAACATTGTCAGCCACAACAGCTGCAGTGGCTCAAGGCGGCTCACTGTCAGACCCACATATGTGCAATATGCCATCCACCACCACCACCACCATCACCATCACCACCACCCCCACCCAAACCAATCGTGGACGTACCGCTACAGTTGCGCTCTGCACGTCAATGTCGTTGATTTCAAGGATGCGGGCACCCTCGCTCAGTGGGCAATCATCGGACAGATGTGATACAAATACACCTGCCAAACCCCAATCAAACCAAAACACCCAAGAGTGGCTATTGCCGTTAGCGAGCACGGACAAGTGTGAATGCGTAAGGGCACTGGCTTGTAAAGGTGCTGTGCATGTAGCATGCGGTGCTGTTCTGCTGTTAAACCATCTGGGTGGTACGCACGAACCTGGCGGGTCTTTTCGAAAGTCAATACAGCCAACAAGTTCAAAACCGAGAGATCCATCGGGCAGCCTCGAGACCCACACATCCTGAATTTGCCTCTGTTGTTAAATGCATGTCCACCAACGCAGAGCAACGTGGCGAGGTGAGCAAGGGCATGCGCGCTCATCATGTAGTCAGGCCATCTCGTCTTGTCATCGGCAACCAATGGAGCCAAACACAATGTATCCTGCTGACACGTTGCCCACAAACGCGCACACGTAAACGAGCGCCTGCCAGCTGAGCAGCTGAAGTGCCACCACACCTTCGTTGATCTCCTGACGAAACGGCTAAGGCTTCGGCGTGAGGACGAGGGTTGCTGTGGCTTGGAGGAATCGCCGCTCCCTTTGCGGAGCGACCCTGTTCGGAACAAGCCACTATGCACACATACATACGTTTTCATTCATGCACATCCATACAAACACACAAACGCAGCGAGAGAGTTACGTGACCCGAGCTGCGCGTGTGCGTGTGTGCACGTGTGTACGTGTGTGTGCACGTGTACGTGTGTGTAGGTGACGTGCAGCTGTGCGGCAACGTGCGCTGTCGTCAGTCAGAAAGGCAGGCCAAGACAAGGTGTTCCGTCGCATCCCTGTTTGGTGATGCGCTCACCTACCTCAGTCGTCTTGCCATCATAGTGTGGGTGCTGAAGGCTGCAAGGTGGGTTTTGGTAATGACCTGTAGTGGTGCCTCGTGTCGGCGTGTGCCGAAAGCGGGGACGGCGTCAAAATATCCTCGGCGCCTCGGCAAGCAAAGGGTGCTGTTGTTTTGGGGTAGCAACAATGAATGCGTCCACCCACGGTGTAGTTGTGACGCGCATGCATACAATATGTGTCGCAAGCGGGACGGACGAATATGGCGCGTGCGGGTGTGCGTGTGAGCGTGTCTATTACAATGACAGGCGCGGCTGCTGATGAGTGGTGTTTGGCGTGCCACCGACGAAATCAACAAACAATACAATACGACCGATGGAGGCAGGGTAGGCTGGCGTGATGCGATGCACGAATTTGAGTGGGCAAACTAGGAACACTCGCCAAGCGGCTGTGCACACGGGCGAGGATGTGAGGCATTATGCATGCATGCACGATGCCACTTGAATGATGTGGTTGCACAAAGGTGAAGCCAACGTGCTCGCACTCTCTGGTACGTCATAGCACGACACAACGCAACCCAATGTTGGCACGAGCGAGCATGTTCTCGCCCGCATGGCGACGGCGCGACACTCTCTTCTCGACACCTGAGTGCCCAACAGCCCACCTGAGCCTGCCCAAGCCTTGCAGCAATCGCTTGAAGGTTCGCGTAGTGTAGGTTCGCACGTCGCGAGGGAGAGGGCGAACGACAACTCCTATTTTTTCAAAGTCGACAAATCTCTCTCGTCAGCTGCTCAGCTGCAGACAGAGCAGAGGTGTGGGCTGATGTGTTGGGTTGTTGATTGTTTTGTGTGCTGATCCTGATAACTCGTGTGTGTGTGTGTGTGTGTGTGTGTGTGTGTGTGTGTGTGTGTGTGTGTGTGTGTGTGTGTGTGTGTGTGTGTGTGCGCAGTATGCGTCTTGCGGAGGTCCTTTGGTGTGTGGCGAGCGAGCTTGTGGCAGACACAATGTGTGTGATGTGGGCGGAACTGGAAGTTGGGAAATGAGGACGCTCGATTCCAACAGGCGCGAGGTGGCGTGTACGCAGAGGAGGAAGGTGCACTTACAAGATTAGTGGAAGTCATTGCAAATCGTCAACATGGTGAGCAGCAGCCAACAGTGGTTTGTGGTGGTGGTGGTGGTGGTGTGTGTGTGTGTGCTCTCTGTGTGTGTGTATGTGTGTGTGTGTGCTCTGTGTGTGTGTGTGTGTGCTGGGCGTCCATGCGTCCATGCGTCCATGCGTCCATGCGTCCATGCGTGTGTGCGTCCATGCGTGTGTACGTTTATGCGTCCATGTGTGTCTGCTCTCGACCAAGAGCAAGCACCCACGCACCCATTACTCAGCACGCAAACCCCGCGCCCGTGCACGCACTTGCCTTTCAGGCGCCTCTGAGCATCTACGACCCAGAGGGACCAGAAAGCGCCAAGTATGTTGCGTTGCCAGAGGAGCAGAACGACCTGTACCCGTTTGTGAGGCAAGCGCGACTTCTGCTCGTCGGCGCCATCGACTACACACAGGTGAGCTGCAATACTCGTTGTGGGGCCATTGCCTGCCATCTGCTGCTGCTGCTGCTGCTGCTGCCATCTGCTGCTGCTGCCCACCAGTCACCAACGCCACCCACCGCCTTCCCTCTTCCCATGCGTTCCTCACCTTTGCCCCCCACACACGCACACACACACGTCACACACGCACATCATGTCACACATTACAGAGCTATGTCACTCAGGCCAAAGCCACATACAGCAACACAAAGCGCATCTACAAAGGTGCACACACAGTCTGGTCTTGATAACAGTTTGTGTGTGCGTGTGTGTGCGTGTGAGATTGTGTGTGCGTGTGTGATTGTGCGTGCGTGTGTGTGATTGTGTGCGTGCGTGCTTGTGTGTGATTGTGTGTGCGTGTGTGTGATTGTGCGTGTGTGCGCGTGTGTGATTGTGTGTGCGTGCGTGTGTGTGCATCACACCCATGACTGGTCAGGTGTTCTTCACGACGCCACAGAGCCATCACCATGCCCTTTGCCAACTCTGGATCCCCTGTGCTGCTGTTCGTCTTTGTGTGTTTCGCCTGCTTTTCGGTTTCAGACTTTATGTCTCATGTCCCAGAGTCGGAGAAGAATGTCATGGGCCTGTTGGTGATTGGAGTCGCAGGCATGACCGGCAGCCTCACATACCCACACCGTGCGTTGTGTGTGTGTGTGTGTGTGTGTGTGTGTGTGTGTGTGTGTGTGTGTGTGTGTGTGTGTGTGTGTGTGTGTGTGTGTGTGTGTGTGTGTGTGTGTGTGTGTGTGTGTGTGTGTGTGTGTGTGTGTGTTGTGTGTGTGTG